CATATAGTTATGATGATAATGAAATAAAATTACGTATCCATTTTTTGACAAGGTCAACCAATGTCAACAGTCCATTACAGTCCACTGGTGGACTATATGGGTCTTCTCTGCACTAGAGGGTTTGCCAGTGTCAACGCCTCACATTCGAGTTGCAACTCCCAATTGATACGATTCCAGTTTCTCGGTTAGAAATGAGTAGTCCCCTGGACGGCTCTTAAACTGTCAAACACCAAGCGGTCACCGGTGACCGCAACCTATTGTTCTATAATTGTGTCTATAATGACGGTACTCGACGAGTTAAACCACGCGAAGAGTACCAACGGGTGGTGACTGGTGGCATAATATTCTTCTCTTTTCTATCGTCATATTATGTTTGTAATTTTGTATGATCAACAGTGATCGGAATAGGGTGATTATATTTATCTACAGTTCGTAGAACAGACAAAAATCGGAGACTTCCTTACAACTAAAAATTTTTTACCAGTAAATTTACTAGAACTTTAATTATGTGAAATTATAAGTCTTGTCTCTAGTTGTCTCTAGTTAAGACATTCCTGACGATGGATAAGAATAAGAATGCATTGTGATCTGTGTTTGGACGAAGAAATTCGAAGTCTTGAAATGTTACTGATGTTTAAATATAATACTGCCTCGTTGGCCAACTGGCCGCAAGTGCGACTGCCGGGCAAGGGGTCTCGGGGTTAATTTCCAGGTCGGGGAAAGTATTACTGGGTTTTTAAAAATCTCAGTAGTAGCACGGAGTCTGGAAATGTGCCCGGTATATGGTAATAGGCTCACACCCCCTATTACATGGGACTCATAATTCACCTTACTCCGATCACTGATGATCAAACACAAAAAAGGAATAATAGATCATTTAAGGTGACGTGAACATTAGGCGCGCGGTGCGTCGTCAAGTATCTTTTTCATCAGTATGCCAGAGTAGTTAAGGTTCATTTTAAATAGATTCTCGGTATCTTCACCGCGGCTTTGCCGGTGTACCGGGTTACCGAGCTCCTTCCGACTCGAAGCAAGAGTAGGAATGGGATGGTTTTTAGTCAGTAAGAGTCTGACACTTTCACTCGCCTCATCCAAGGCCGGGAGGAGTCTTTGTATGATTGTCCCCCTCAAAAAAAGGTAACATGCTAAATGGCGGTTAGAGGGTTAGTCTTAGAAAAACTAAATTAATAACGAACAAGTCGATTGTGCTAATGAAAGATTTAATTACATTTTTAATTCAAATTTTCTAATGAGTACCTACTTTGATGACTTAACTAAAGACAAATAAAAAGTAGTCAAAGTCAAAGTATTTATTTCAATTAACTCGTTGAGTACCGTCATTATAGACACAATTAAACTGTCAAACACCGCGAGGACACCGGTGACCGCAACCTATTGTTCTTTAATTGTGTCAATAATGACGGTACTCGACGAGTTAAAGAACAATAGGTTGCGGTCACCGGTGACCGCGCGGTGTTTGACAGTTTAAACCATAATTTAGTACTGAAACGTCAACAAATACAAAATAAATAATAGTCTGTCAGTCTGTCCGTCAGTGAAGCCAGGTGCCCATTCCATCCCCAATGTAGATTCGAATGGAGAAGAACGAGCAAGAAACTCAATTCGTTACTCATTTAAACAACGATTTGTTTTACAAATTATATGATACATTATCCAATATTGTACGCATATGTGAGAACTATGCAAAGACACGCTTGACGCATTATACAAATTACAAAACGTACTAATATAAAAAACAAAACAAAAAACTAACCTTTGACCAACGTAGGGATCAAATAGACACAACCACAGAACATATAAAGCAGGGACTGAATAACCGAAAAATTACGATACCTTTAAATTGCGGTATGACGTCATACCGTTAAATAACGGTTACCGCTTAATTTCGGTAT